ATCAGAATTCTGAATTTAAAATCAGAATTCTGAATTTTTGTCAGAATTCTGACTTTTTTTCTCTGAATTCTGACTCAATTCTGACAGCTAACAAACATGTTAGCATCGAGCCATAGCCATGTCTGTTTTAGAGACTAAACTAGCTCTCTTGTTTTAATGACCTTCTGTTCTTCCATTAATGAAGTAGCATCACGTTTGCCCATGTCTAGAATCACCAATGTCTCACTCTCTGTCAAATGAGCTCCAAAGATTATCAACCTGTGATCATCAACCTTTAAGTCCTGCCACGCATTCATTAGTAGATTTAGGCCTGGACTTTGGATAGGCCATTCTACCCAGCTTCTCAGTAACCACTGTCCAGCATGGTTTAAAGTTTTCCAATGATTCACAAACCTAACATAAAAATGGGTTTTGGAGTGGAGACACATGTAAAACATGCAGTGGGTCCTGAGGACCAGGCTGTAAAACCATTACTCTAAACCATCCTGTAGTCTTGATCTTTTGCTGGCTATTGCCAGTTTTCCTCCAAGAGTATCTGTTCAGTGTGATGCTGCACTCACTGTGTTTCAATAAGAGGAATGTCTATGCAGGGTGTGGTTCTTGGCTTGCTTTCTGCATACATTTAGGCCAAAAATGTAATCTGGTTATTAGAATCTGTTAGAATCCTTAAATGTTGTCAGTTCCAGCCTCCGGTTCAACTGTCTCCATCAAAGTGTCCTTTGGAAAGACAATTCCTCTGCAGGGCCTTTGATGGTAGCTCTCACTGTGCCCTAGAGAAGCTGTGGATGCCATGTAGCTTTCCACCATCATCGTGTGATTATCTGTATGCATTTGTGAAAGACTGTCACTGAATGTAGCATAACACACTTTGGGGTCTTTGATAAACAGCTATTCAAGTAAAGAATACTTTTTAAAACGATTCTAAGCATGGATGATGCATAGAAATATGGGACTTTGTACAGCACTGCAAGAGTTAATAGCAGGGGCGGATTTAGGAAATTTGGGGCCCTAGGCAACAGCAGGCATGGGGCCCTCTAAATTGAGAAGACAAAACATAAGCCAGACCCATTATACAGATACAGAAATTTTAATAGAATAGACATCCATTATCTGTTCTAGGTTGTGTCCCTCTCTTCTTGTTCCTTTTCTTTTTGTTTTCCTCTCTATGTTTCGTACTCAGCCGACTTTTCATGCTGTCTCTAAAGGAATGAAAGATTTTTTCCAATCACTATTTAACTGATTGCTTTTTGCAACGGCAAAAGTACATAACACAGTCCTTCTTTTCACTGTAGCCATGATCTGCTTATCTGCTCTCCATTTTCACTGCTTTTATATGTTGTCATCAAACAGAGCATTTTAGTGAAATTATTTTAATAAAAAACATAATGTGAACAAATAAGTAATAGTTTAATTAACCATACATGTAACAGGAGTTCCTGGGGGCCCTAGGCAACTGCTCTTTTTTGCCTACACTTGAAAAACTCGAAATCTAGACAATGGTCTTTGTTCTGTTGTTCTTTACTTTGCTCCTTGTTTTCTAGATTTATTGGTTTAATTCCAGTTTTGTTGTAATTTCTAGATTTATGTTAGTT